TGAAAGCTTTCATGTCTGGGAACCAATTTTTTATTTTGTTTATGAATGGGCCATGGAAGATCATCTACTTGTAGCATATCCTTCTGGGTCATTGAATAGGATCAGATAAAATAGGAGATAATTTTGTTTTTTGTAATACTTTATCCCACTTGAACAGAGTTGGTTCTCGAAAAAATGTCTTCATTGACTTAAAAAATACAAAGAAATTTATATTAGCATTCATAGAGTTCGTCGATGTAGGGCACAGAGTTGGATAATTTTTTTTTTATTACACTACTACTGTTTATCTAAACAGAGTATAACTACTAATAAGGGCTTTATGTAGAAAAAAAAATTGATAGGAAAGGAAAAGATAAAGAAAAAGATAAATAGAGAGAGGATATTATTGATTGATATAAAAAACAGGAAGAAAAAAAAACAAAAAAAAGAAATACATATTAATAAGGCAAAACAGCATAAATATTATGTGTTTTTCAATACATGATTTTGTCCTTTATTTCGTAGAATAGACTACTAATTTTTGTTATCACTTTATAGCAAACTCCCTTGTTACACTAAAAATGCTTCTATGATTGCACTTTCATCCAATTTTTTTTTCTCTGTTTTTTTTAGTCATGGAAGTGTTTTTATGTACGTTCATCGTTTTTTTTTCTTATCGTTATTCTATTGTCAGCTATCAAGAAAAGTTTTTAATTTCTTATACATTTTTCTCAACCTTTTCCTTTTGTTTTTCTCTTCTCCAAGATATTCACTTTATCAAATCGAGTATAAATCAGTTGGATTGAATAATTATATGTATAGCAAAATTAAAATTAAAAGACGACGTGTACTCTATTTTGTTAAAACTAATAATAGTAAGGAAATACAAAGTATGAAAAAAAAAAATCTCGGTGATTCATTCCTCAAGAAAATGTAAGTTCTAAAATAAAATGTAATTTTGCTAATTTTTTTAATGTATTTTTAATGATAAATTGAATATAGCCGCAGAAAAAAAAAACTAAATAATTGAATTCACGTTAAAAATTGTACTCTATTGAAACTTTTGTGTTGCTGCTAATTCTTAATAACTCATTAAATGCACTTTAAAAAAGGCTTAGTTATTCAATTTAATGTGCATGTGATGCAAAGCAGAAGTTCAAAGATAAAATCATTGAAAACTATTTTGTGGTGTCATTACGTTTCTCATGTAATTTACATTCCAGTATTATTGAAAGAGTTCCATTGTATCATTACCTTAATAAGTGAAACACAATTGCAACTCTATGAAGATGGAAAGAAAATAGAACGAAGATTGATCAAAATTAATTCATTATTTTATATAATTTTATTTTATAGGTTTTGTCTCAATCTTGAAGAAGATGCATTTAAATTATTCTTACAAAAAATTATAATAATAAAAAAACTCAAATAAATTGATTTGGATAATTATTATTTTGAAATTTATTAAATTGAATTCAGTTGAAGGTTGAAAAAAAAAATTCACCTATATACACATTTCGACGTTTAATAAAAAAATTCTCTGAAATGAAAAATAGTTCTCTAAATGATAAAATTGTGCTATTTATAAATTTTTATTATAATATTATTATCATAATATATATTAATATGGAGAGTATTTTTATTATATAATAAATTTCATAAATTTGGTAATTCATATAATTACAAGTATTCTATTTTTAATTAATCATTTAGATTTTCTTTTCATAAAAAATCATAATGGTGGACTTACTGATACATTTATATGGTAAAAGTTTGCTTACTTCTACCCCGCTTTAAGGTCCATCTTAATTTGAGTTTGTCAATATGAAACTAATACGAATATTTTAACCCTTTAATGTTAACTCTGATAATTTTAATCTTTATAAAGGACACATGAAAAAGGAAAACGAGTGTTAGGTGGAAAAAGTTTATGCACAAATAAATAAATAAAAAATTAAGCCACGAAATAAGGATAGGTATTAAGTATCTTATTTGCATCTGATCTCATAGTTAGTAATGACAACCTCATGGGTCAAGGCTTTGATTGTGAGGAAATGCTCCAATGGGACCCCGATATACAAAAGCTAAAGATATGTTGTTTTGTTTTGCTTCCCAATAAAATCCACTTTCATTGATTATATATCATTTGGTTTGTATATATCTACCCTATATAATGATAAGTATAAAGAAAAAAATTGATATTTAATAACCTAAATCTATACAATTTCTATACATAATACTCTTTTAATATTATTATAATAATTTTAATTTATTTTTATTTTTAAATTATTTGATAAATTATTATATTAATAAAAATAAATTATTTAAAGATTGTATGGTTTCTGATTATTAAAATATGACCGCTCAAATCTAAAATCTTAATTTGTCTTGCAAAATAAGTAATATCAAGTTTCCCAACTTGAGAGTTAGCAATTTTGGCATTCCTGTTAAATGTTTTCTAATATAATTTTCTAAGAGACACATTAATGACGACAACAGTGATTAATAATACAACAACAGTTTTTCCCCCTTATTTAATGCTAAATTAATGATTATGACCAAAAGAAGAAAATAAAAAATTCCTTACACACTATTAGGCTAAATATTTAAAGGGTTTAGTTGCATTTGAAAGAAGAAAAATTTGCTCGCATTTATTCTGTAGTAATCTATGGTATGCAGGAAAAGAAAAATACTAGTGAAGTTATGAAAGAAAGGTGTCCATGTCACCGTACCAAGCCAAAGTTGATAACGAAAGTGTGCTCGTCCTCCAATGAAGCCGTTGGGATTTGTCTGTAATTAGTAGATGATTAAGTGGACAAAGTGTTCATTTGGACGATTAGCCTGAACCTAATCTACATAGATTTCCAAATTATCTTATCCTTAATTCGAATCCATTCATTGTGTTTTGAACAAAGAAACGGACAACAAAGGATAGATTTGTGATATATCATCTCAAATGTCAGATCAAATATAGTGCATGTCAAAGCCGAAGGAACACCATTTTAGGATTTATCTTTTCGCAAGAAGACAAACTATTCAATTGATGTTATGCAAACAGGCGTGCTGGGGAAAAAATTGGACTAAGCAGCTTCAAATTAATTGGCAAACTTGTATCAAATGAGGACCTACCTTGAGATGAATTTTTAGGTCCGGCAATTCAAAAATTGATAAATACCTCTTAAAATCTTTATAATCTTTTGGTCAATTCTAAGAAAATCACATCAGATATTTATCCTATAGTTTTAGTTGACGGCCATGCCACATCAGCTACAGTCATGTGAATGCGATGTCAACCTTTATTACCTAAACTTCAAAATGACGATGAAGCTAGCACTTTACCAATATTGACGTCATCACTTCGTCAGCAATTCATCTTCAAATAAAACCTAGTCAGGGTTAGGCATGGCAACCGGCGGCGTGGATTTTGGCTGCTCTATATCTGACTTTTTAAATCATTTCTGATTCTGTTTTAGATTTTTGTTCGGATTTTTCATTCTATATTTTGAGTTATATTGTTTTTAAAAAATAATTATATTTATACTAAATTAATTTTATTATATATTTTTTATATATAAATAAATATTTATAATTTATAATAATTATTAATTAAATATAAATATAAATTTATTATATTTATATTAAAATATGGATTAAAAAAATATTTAATTAATTTTTATTTATATATAAAAAAATATTTATAACAATATTATTATTGTTATTATTTAAATATTTGAATATTTATAACATTATTATTATTATAATACTATATTCAAACATTTAATTATATATATAAATTAATTTATTTTTAAGTTGTCATTTAAAAATATGAAATATATAGTTTATAAGAAAATATTTAATAAGTTAATTCTTATTTAATTAATTCGAAATAATAAAAATTTAAATTATCAATTTCTTTTAATCCTTTAAAATATAATTATTTTATTAAAATAAAATTTGATATATGATAAAGAAGAATAATAAGATAAACAAATATGACATAATAAAACCTAATAAATATAAATTATAAATAAAATAATATTAGTTATTACTAGAATTTATGTAAAATATTTAAAAAAAGATAAAGAAAAAAATATACTTTGTGATGGAAGAAATTAAGAAAATATAAAAAACAAAAAGGTAAGAGAGAATAATGTAATAAATTAATTGATATAAAAGATTAAAAAAGACAAAAAAATTAAAAATAAGTAAAAGAAAAATAAAATTTGATAAAATATTAAAAAAATAACCATATATAATAGAAAAAGAAAAAAAATACATTTAAAATATTAATATTTTAAATTTAAATATAAAGTCGGAACGGAGACGAGTCGAGTAAGGATTACATTATCCATCCCTGCTCCCGCTCCCGACTTTTTAAAGTGAGAAAAACCCGAACCTACCCTCAGTCAACTTGAGTTTTCCCCGTTAAACTCGAGACAAAGACAAATATACGGGTTTAATTATCATCTCCTAGTTAGGACCCACAAAAAAATCCCACCAACATCCTCTTTCATTTCAGAAAAAAAGTTTTCCTCCGTTCTAGATTATCCTCACCAGCGTAAAACAGGGTGTTGGTTGGCTTTCTGGGATACTTTAGGGCCTTTTGAAGGATTTGTTTTTTGCAGCAGGAGCAGGGCATGCGTGGTTACTGTTCAGTCAAGCTCGTTTTCATATTCGTCTTCCGACTGCCAAGTAACCATAGAAATGACACACAACGGACGGCAGGCCCTACAGAATGTACCCAGAGATGAATTCTAAACATCTTATGTACATTAGAATTGGTGACTGGTGAATATATATAATCTACATTCATTTCTACATCATGAAGATCACGCATTTCATAGAAAAATAGCTTCATCTAATTTCCTTCCAAAGCAATTGGCACCTGAAATCGATAGCTATCTCACGGAAATGCATGCATACACTTGGCAATACAATTGCTGGTTATGCTGCTGCAATCATTTTATATTATTGATACATACATGAATCCCAAAAAAGTGCAGATGACATAAGATCTTGCATCAATCATCTTCACTCTCATTGTTTGGCCTTCCATACACCACAGAAAAGTAGTGGCTGACTGTAGTCAAAGTGAGACCAGGGAACCTGTGAAGTTTTTCTGGCCGTGGATCAATCTTAACAAATGGCCATCTCATGATTTCTGCTGCCTCACACTCTTCCCATCCATCTCCAAATGCACAAAAGCGAACATTCGGGTGGTTGAAACGCTGCTTGATCCATCTAAAACATTGAATTTTTCCCACTTCCCATGAGCTATAAACTGAAATGTAACAAACATCATTAACATAGATCAGGATTAAACTGTGTTTTTCGTTACTGAAATCTCTACTAGTTTGTACGCTTTCAAAAAGGTTCGTTAGTAACATGATTGTGGGCTTTGAACTTTCAGAAAGATGGCATAAAAAAATAAATTATGCGACATGACCTTCACACTGGCCAGAAGAAATAAATTACTCACCATTTTCATGGCTTATTAAGCTGTCCAGACGAAAGAGCAGGCATTTCACAAGTGAGGGAATTAACGATCCAGACGTCACTAAAACATTAACATGCTTTACATTAGTCGAGTTAGAACTAGCGTCAGAAGAAGCAATCAAAGAAACTGTATCTTCATCTTCACCCGAACATTCCTCCAAAAAGGTTCGTGCTACAATATATTAAACATGAAAGATATAAGCAATACAGGTCATGAACAAAAGATAATATAATTGAACAATCAAAACATACCTGATGAAAGCCACCTGTCAGTGTATTCATCAGTTTTATCATACAATTCTTCCCAGAGTTTTATTGTTTCATTATCTAAAATATTCTGTATACCCTGAAACCAAACAAGAAAAGGTTAAGTTTATCCCTTAAGCTACCAATGGAAAACAAATAAACTAAACCACAGCTTGTTTCATTACACTCCAACTCTAGGTCTCTAACTCAGATTCTCACTTCATGAAAGCTTGTTTCTGTTACATTTTACAACTATTGATCTGTTAGAATAGGAATTTAAATATTTATCAACAAAAAAGTGGTGGTAGTCAGGTTTCTATAGCTGTGTAGCCTTTTCGTTTGCCTTCGACATTAATCCACAAACAATTCTTTGAAGATGAAGCTTTCAGCTTGCTATCTCTTATTATTTGACATTTGACTGTTTTTAATAGAATATAAAATGAGACATTGAGGCTACAACATTACATAATATATCATCCAAAATGGGAACATTGAGACGTATATTTATGGAAATCGGGCTAATTATCGATGGCCAAACTATTTTATATGTAAAACATAAGCTCCGGAATATTGGGAAAGTAATAGGTACATATACAATCCAAAATCCTGTAATAAATAAGTAATGATAAAAAAAAAAAAGGTCAGATGCAATGACTTTCAGAATAATCATCACAAAAATCAGAAAATATCTACCTTGAAAACTAATTGAAACAGGATATACGAGAATAGTATTAACTTAGAAATTCGGGGGCAAAGCTCTTTACAGCCGAGGAAAATTCCTCCGATAACAGAATACTCAACAAAAGGAAAGGAGATATGATTGTCACAATCACTTTGTTTGAATAATAAACTTTCTATAAGCACTTAGAAGAAAATGTGAAGGTCCAATGAATTAAGCTTCTTCTTTAAATTAACTTTTCATTTCAACTTTTAGAGAAATTACAGAGAAAGCTACTAAAACAGTTAAAGTTTCTAAGTTCATTTTATCTTACAAGAAAAACTCAATTTATTTACCTTCTTATTTTTCTCTCTTATATATGTCTATAAAAGAGTTTATCCAAACAGAACCTACATAACAAAGCCAACCCAATTCCCAAACACACATACAAGACCTTAAACTATCTTCTATCCAACCCTTCTCTCTCCCTCCCTTCCTTAACTAATCCTGATTCTGGAATTTCTTGCACCCCACTACAAGTCACCTGTCACAATTCAGTAATGAACCTTTTTTTCCTCTCTACTAACAGAATTTACCATGTCTTTCCCCTTACCTTTTCTTTCTTTTTCCTCTCATAAACAACAGACCTGTTTCACCATTGGGCCCCTCCTGTTTATCCTTCTCCTCCTCACAGATGCTAATGTCCTATCAAAACATTTCATGTTAAATGTAAAACTACCAATAATGCTCCAGAAACTATGTTTCATAACTTTATTTATGTATGCAATTTAATACAAGTCTCATAAGGTTAAAAAAACTTAATGGTAGTTCACATCTGCCACGCATATTACAATTATGCATTTATAGACAATAGCAAGCTATAACATGCAGGTATAGAAAGTGAACTTAATCAATCTCTATTTTATCTAAGAAATAATTGAAACCGTCTTGTGGAAAATTGAAAATATAAAGGAAACTACTGTAATAGATACATACATCAATAATATAAATTAACTTCAAGAAGCATCAATAAATATGCAACACGTAAAGTTCCATACAATAGTACTGACTTTCAAAGTTGAATACAAAAATAATAATAATGCTCCAGAAGTTTAACCTGTATGTACTTTTGGGCAATGACTCGATGCCTATATGCAAGTTTTTTTTTGTTGGCATCATCATGAGGGGAACCTAATTCATCTTGGTTGAAGTCATAATCAGATAGGTCCCTCCCATCATCATATTGGGCCAGAGCATCAAGAAATGGCTCATTGTAAGTTTCAATCTGCACCATAGAAACCCCACATCAATCAATGACATTCCACAAGCAAAACGATCCATGGAAATTTCAACATGTAAGCTAAACTTTACTTGTTCATAGAAGAAATAATCATCACATGTTTGTAGAATGAGGTTTTCCCACATCCTTCCGATTTCAACTCCCTTTCCCACATCCTTCAGACCGTTAAAAGCCTCGGCATATGATGATTTGAGCAAGGAGTTGAGTAGTACAAGCGTCTCATCCATGTCCCACACGTACACATCCAACCTGGGATGGACACTGTTGCCGGAATGTTCAGGCATGCCAGCTGCAGCTGCATCAGTCATTGTTACGTGTGCTCGACGGACTCACCTCACACTCAGAGAGTCACAGTGCACTGCAGCAAAAGATCATGTTCAAGTATTCATGCAGCAAGTTACTTAACACCTTTAACACCGCATGTCGAGATCAACTTCAACAGGCACGAATGAAATGCATCAGTAATTCAATGAATTACAACTCAGAATATTAGGATTTAGAAAAAGTAAAAAAAGGTTCAACCTTGTTCACACTCATTCAGTTGAAATTAAATGAATAGGCTTAAAATAAACGAAGTTTAAAAATAACAAAAAACAGAGGGAATGCGAATTTGTGAAGAATTCAGAAATCAAAATTACTAGGATGAACATACTATATTATTAATTACAATAACCAAAATCGGTAAGATTCGAATCAGCGTCTTGATTGTGTAAACGAATAAAGAAACAGGTATAAAATACATATGAATGCAGAGAAATAGGCGGCGACAAAAGAAGTTGTTTACCTTAGGTTAAGGTTGCAGAGCGCATAAGTACGATGAGGACGATGAAGTGGTGACGTTAAACCGAGTGAAACTGTCGAGTTCAAGAATCTAGCGAAACTATAAATTTTTCCGTTTACTTTTATTATGCTTTCCCAAAGGCCCAAATGATCAGCCCACATTTTGGGTCCAGTAAACTGAAACTACATATTTTAAAAAAAATTGGAACTAAAATCACAAAACAAAAACGAACCAGAACAAACATGAAGCTTATGTGTTAATGTTTTTTAAGGTGATTCACTATTATTGAGTATCCAGAGTAGCGGATATACTAAGATCATGTCTCTTTTGGATGAGCTCTTAAGCGTTGATTTGGTAAAAATTGTTGTAGGTCTCATTTTGTTTGAATTCTTTTGTCTCTTCTTTGATTTGAAATGCAATTTAATTGACAGAATATTAGTTTAATAATTATATTATAAATACTTTATTGTACTCTTACTTAATGAATAAAGAAATTTTTGGCTTAACTCATGAGACGTGTTAGAAGACGAAAAAGATACTGTATACAGCTATGTAATTTGAAAAATAAGCATCAAATTAATAATATAATAAATTGATGGAAGACACTAAAAACTGTCCATTGAGACATTAAGACAATAGACAAGGATGCTTAAATATGAGTAACTCCGTCATTGCATTGTTTTCCAAGAACTTAACCCTTCTAGATTATGTTAATTTAATGACTTTCTTTGTTTAGCGGAGATAATTCACATAAATTTGTCCATCAAGAATATTCTAGGGCAGCCCAAAGTGAATTTTTCTAAAAAAATAATTTTTGCAGTTGAAGATATTAATGTCACCATAAATTAATACCAGAGTTTAAGCCCATGGTATCAACACTTCGCGTTTCTGTGTATTCTAACAGTAGTTACATATTTGACAAAGTCAACCGTTTTTTATGCTAACGAAAGATTATTATATTATGTTTATTAATAATAATATGAGTTATTTTCAGTCTATTAAAAGTTGAAAAAATAGTCCTCTGCGGACCAAAGATGTTGATGTGTGGTACAACCGAATGAGATTGGATTAAGGATTAGGATTTATGACTGACTTCTGATTTTGACACATTTTTTTAATTTTAAGAAACAGGTTTACGCTATTGATTCTTATATATTTTCTAATGAAATTCAAAGCGTTGAAAATAAGACATGCTTACAGCAGTTTCCAATTGGTGGATTTTATTTGCAGCAGCAGATACACATGAATATACCCTGTGAGAACAAACCCTGAAAAAACGCAATGGAAAAGGGATGAAAACAACCACGGTTTAATTACCGTATTTTTTGTTTCAGTTACAAATGGCACTCCTCGTATGCACAATATTAACAGAAAACAAAAATTACAAACAATTTACATATTACTCTTTATTAGGAAAAACAAGGTGTTTGAAACATATGCAACGGACAGACAAAACACGATCACAAGAAACATAGATTTTGTCCAATCATCATTCAAGCTTAGAACAAAATAGGGAGAAAACCCGGAATCCAAACCCCTTCCTTTTCTTCTTTGATGGCACAAGTTTTGCATCCTTCTTGGTGTCAAAATCAGCCATATAGTGCACAACTTCCTGGTGAACAACAATGAGCAAAGTGTAAGTAAAATAGAGAAGGTGACAAAATAGAAACAAGCCAAAGTTAAACTGCACATCAAAAGTTTTACCTGAGCGCCCAATTTGACCAATTCTCTCGGTGGCACCTCAAGGGGGGTCTCATCAGCTCTAAAAACTCTCAACTTGGATAAGAACCTGAAAGACTCTGGTAAAGCTTTTATTTGATCATCGCTTATATCCAACTCCTCAAGCATTTGAAGATTTCCAATTGATCTTGGCAAGGCTCTTAGGTCCGCAAAGTTCTTTCCCAAGTTTAATTTCTTTAAATTAGTTGCAAAACACAGGCTCTCTGGTACAAATTCGAGTTCATTAAAGCTAACATCGAGTTCCTTTAAATTGCATAGATTACCCATTGTGGAAGGCAACCTCTTGACTCTATTATAGTGCACAGTGAGGATCTCCAACCATTCAAGCTTCCCAATTGCCTCAGGTATGGCCTTGAGCTGATTGAAATCTAACCTGAGCTCAGATAGTGATGAACAATTTCCAATTGTGTAAGGCAGTTCCTCAAGCTCGTTGGTCTCAGCATTCAATCTCTTCAGGCTGCTCAAATTCCCGATTGTCTCTGGTAAACTTGTGAACCCATTTGAGCTCAAGTCTAGATCAATGAGGTTTGTCAAGTTTCCGAAAGTAGCAGGAAGTGATTTCAATCTGTTAGCATGGAGGTCAAGATCAACAAGGTTTATCAGTTCACCAAATGAATGGGGAAGGTTTATGAGTTGGTTTGAGTGAAGATCAAGCTTTGTTAAGGCCTTGAGACCAATAATAGTTGTTGGAAGAGCCATGATTCTGTTTTCGGATAGGTCCATGTCAGTGACATCAGATAATTTCCCAATTGACACCGGCAACCATTCCATCTGATCCACCAACTTCCCTCTAAGTTCAAGGGTTGTAGCTCCACTACCAGCACAACTTTCAATAACAGTAGCAACTTTCATTAAACTTAATTTCTCAGTGCTTCCTTCGCCTACCAAAAAAAAATCAAATAAAAGGAAGTACATCATAGCAAGTTAAGGTTTTGAAATTATCAAGGATTTTAGGGTCTCCATGACTGCAATGTCACATCAGCAATATTTGTCCACAAATTCTGGCAATATCAAGCATCGCACAAGCAACGATTCAGACCGAAATTTAAGACTTCGGACAAGACAAGTAGCCTAGAGATCTAACTAATAAGTTCTCAAAGTAAAGAAGAAACTATGAACTAACTACAGTATTTTAAGACAACGGGTTATGTATGTTTCAAATCTTAACCATAATCCGTGAGTAATAATTTGATGAAAGAACATAATAACTATGATTATACCAACAAGTAAACATGAAATCGGGTTATTTCCCTTAATAACTAACCTGCAGACAAAGAAGGCTTTATCACTTGGAAATCATTCTTCTGTGATTCTTCCTCTTCCTTCACCAAAATTTGACTTTGGTCAGTGGTCATAACGTTTTCTTCGGTGAAAGTGGGAAGGTTTTGCTTCTGGGTATCTCCAGAGACCAATTCGGAAGCCCTCTGAATGAGATCACCAAAGGTTTGGAACATCTTTTCGAGCTCGAGAAGTTGAAGAGCCTCTCTCCTCTGTTGGTTGGTGTGGAACAAGACCATGGTCTTCTTGAGTTGCTGCAGGACAGAGAAGAGGTCCTCAGGGACGTCGGGAGGAGATTGTTGCATTGAGATTTCGTGGAGTTTGGTTTGTTCCTCGTTGTTGAGGGTATCCACAGTGGACGTGGCAGCTTCCACCTCTTCAATGGAAGGTCGAGGTGGCAGTGACCTGTAGACTCTGGTGATTTCTTCTACTGTCTCCAGAAATCCACGTGAAGGTGGTTGTAGAGGGTCTTTTTCACTCTCAAGAATCGTGGCCATGGTTATTGCTATGATGGAAGTAGGAGAGAGAGGCTTCAATGATAGTGTGGCTTTGTGCTTTCAGGATTTGGCTATTACTTTATTCTAGTTTACACAAACATTCGTTGCAGGCTCAGACAGGCTTCGGAGAAAAATAGAAAATAAATAGTTTGCTTACCAAAAATCTGAAACCAATTGATGATGAATCTCACATGTACACAGAATTTTAATTTCAAATCTTTTATTATAAAACATGTTATGTTCAAAGGAAATTTAAAAAATTATAAAAATTTATTTGAAAATTAAAAATTCAATATTTTTTAATTTTCTCTTATTTTGATTTTTTTTTTCATATTGTTTTCTCGACTCCAATATTTTTCACTAATGTCAAATACGATATATTTTTATTGATATTTATTGAATTTTCAGTTAATATTAGTTAGCGTTATTTATTAATCAATTTTTTTCTTTGACAAAGTTATTTTTGGTCGATGAAATATTTTTAAAGTTAATGAAACTATTTTTCGTCAAAAAAAACTTAAAAATATCACTAATTAATATGTTTAAATGTTTAATATTAAAACAAAATTTTATATTTAATCATTATTGAAGTATTTTATTTAAATGGATTTTTTTTAATAAATATAAAATGTTTTACTCAAACAAAATATTTAAAAATTAAATAATTTGAAATAAAAGAAATTAAAATTAAATATAGTTATTTTTTTTTTAAATTGTGAATTCTCTATCCAAATATAAACTTTAAGAAATTAAAAAATTTATAAAATTATGAGAATAATTTCAATACTTAAAATTATATATTTTTTAATTTTATAAAAAAAATAAGAATTTAAATTTTGTTATATCATCTCACCTTTCATATTTACGTTTTTTTTTATTCTGACTTTTATCATCATAGCTAAAATTTAATAAGCTTATTTTTTGTCAAAATGTTTTAGACTATTTTTTCACTTATATAAATTAATATTGTTTCTTGTTATTTAGAATTTTCATTGCCAAGATTATTAGATTCACTCAATCCATTTTCAAATAGTTTAGATTAAAATTATTCTATAAAAATTATAAAAATATAAATTAGTTAAATTTTATATTATTTATTCTCTTGTAATCTATGAATTAATATAATTATTATTTTAGATTATTAAATTATTAAAAAATAAGTTGTAAAAAAAAAGTATAACTCTTCTTTTTATTGAATATATCCACCATCTCTCTCTCTCTCTCTCTCTCTCTCTCTCTCTCTCTCTCTATATATATATATATATATATATATATATATATATATATATATCAGAGTTACCATGTAATATTAATAAAGTATTACTAATTTAATTTTTTCACGATACAGTTGCAAACATAATTTCTTTTCAAACAAATATTTGTGAAAAAAAATCAATTGTTTGATGAATAAAAATAACTAATATGCATCACATGAACTATGGCAAAAATATTACAATGAAAAGATTGAATTGTTTGATTAATGAAATTAAACATAAGAAATTTATAAGTTAGAGGAGTTTTCAATTGTCTAAATAAGAATGTCAATAAAAAATAAATGTATATTCTTTACTGTCTAAGTTTGATACTTAAAGGGTGAGATGTGTCTTACCAAATCATGTTAGACAGAAATTATATTCTTATTTGAGTAATGAGGTCGACTTTATTAGAGATATACACTTTTAGAAAAGATGGTTAAAAAATTACAAATCATCTAAACATAATTTCTTTATAAAATATAGTTTCTTTATAATCTAAAGAAATTACATTTTTTTTAATATAATATTTAGTTTATTTTTCCCTATAATTTAAAAATTAATTTTAAAAATTTAAAATATATATGAATTTTGTCTTTAACAATATAAAGAGCTACTAAATATTAAATTGTAAGAAAAATATTTTTAATATATGTGCTTGTTTTTTTCAAACTTGTCTCTAGCCTTTTGTATTTTCTAATTCGTAAATTCAATTTTCTAACTTATAAAATTATAACTTTTGTCTTTATTTCATATTTATATTTGGTATTTAATAATTGTTTTTTTATTATTATAAAATAAATAAAACTAAAATCACAATATAATTTTATAAAAATTAATAAAATAACTAAATTCACATATATTTCGATATTTGAAAACTAATAAATCAATTTTTAAAATACAAAAACCAAAATCATGTATACTCAATCAATATAAAATTTAAATTTAAAAATTAAATAAAATCACATTATGTAAATTTGATTATGAACTTTGTAATGTTAAAAAAAAAATCACATTCACATCTTAATAAACTAAAAGACTCAATTTATCGATATTAAAAATATAAGAATCAAATAGAAATTTGAAAATAAAAAAACATCCTGTTCATATAAATTTACTAGAAGATATATAACCGACTCTATCAAATTCAGTTATGGTGAACACTTTTATATTCTGCGAGTTCTAATGCTATATTATGAGAAAAACACATCAGTAACATGTTTGATGAAGTTGTGATTTTCTGAAATGTATTTTACACTACAATGAGTATATTATAAATCAACTAAGTATATTAATTAAGTATATAAATCAGCTAATACAAAACAAAACTCCATAAATCAATAAAATCCTTTGCTCACCGGGAATGAAAGCACAAAAATAGAAGCTAAGTTTTTTTCTTTTCTTTTCTGTAAACAGATCAAGATATTATAAATCACAATTAGAGTAAAGAAATTGAAATCAAATAAAAAAAATTTGCACATTAGGGAAAAAAGGAGGTAAAGTTCTTAAACTGAAACAATAACTCACGCAATCCCATTTCTTATTTTCAAGCAACTATATTTCAGACATTCCAAGAGACATTTACTGTAATGCCAGGACTTAAGTTTTTTTTTATTATTATTTATATTGTGAGGTTTAGTGGGACAGGTAGCCCCACTAATCAAGTGCACAAAATTATGTAAGAAATTCTTTGGGTATACCTGCCCAAGTCCCATTGAAACACAAGTTTTTAAGGAGCTAGGAACTTGCCCCAAATACACGGATTCTCTGTTGGATCTGAACCCTGCAGCAAGGACAAGCAGCTTTACCTTTTCTTCCATACTCATCACTGCAACTAGCACACATAACTTGGTGTGCACAGGGCAAGAAAACAATAGAGACTTCATCTTTCATACATAGAATGCATTCTCTGTTGCTATTCACTTCTTTATCTGAAAAATCGTCCAGATTATCTAATTGTTGAAGCAGCCTAGCAATGGTCTCTCTTTGGGGCTTTGCACCCTCAGAGTTGCTTGTAGGTGAAGTGCTTGATTGGTGATGCAACTCAGCAGACTGAGCTGATGCTTTAAGGCGCGAAAGTTCCTGCTCCAGTCTTAGTAGATCATCCTTGTGGCGCTGGAAATCTATCTCTATCTTCAGACGCAAAGCCTCAACCCTCCTCTTATTATTAGATTCAGCATCTTCCTTACGACGCCGTTCCTCCTCAACCAGTGTCAAGGCTTCCTCTTTAGCCTTCAACTCCTCCTTCCACCTAACCTGTAACAAGTTATTACCAAAATACATGCTTCAGCAATACTATTATCATAGCAGAAATTGCAGTTTTCACGGAATGAGGACTTAGTTATGAGGAGAAGCAAAACAACCGGCGCAGATATATTTCATGGAAATGACAAAACCATGGCTAAACCAAGTGAGAACCCAAACACAATCAACAGATCCAGGTGTAATAATCATCAATAACTAGATTATACACATCCATGATAATGTATAAGAAAACACAGAATATAAGGATCATCAAGGATTGAAGGAAGCAAATTACGGTATGCCTGGGCTGACAGCTCAAACCAAATAATTTACATCAGAGATTAAATCTGGAATATACGAAACATTAGTGAATTTGTCCAAATTATATTAATTTAAGGTTTAGATATGCTTTTAATTACTGCAAATGAAGAAACGTTAGATTTTTTGTTCCTAAAAATTATTATCTCCTTTTGGTTTCTGATTCATGAGAAATGTGGCAGGTGCAGTTTGTGTCCTTCCTTTCCACTTTAGTTAACGATGTTCGTAATATGGATTTTTGTTAGTGACTAGAAGCAAACATTTTTCTGTTTATAGTGATTAAAAATATATTTAACCCTTAATTAGTTTCAATTTGATGAGATCAAGAAAAAATATGACGACAAACAGCAGAGAGATCCGTCTCCAAATATAACAAAGGGGTATGGTCTCAATGGCGATGTAACATTGAAATAAGCAGGCAAAGGGCGCCTCACACATGTTATAGCCTCTGTAAATATTAAGCTCAAATAAAAATAGTTATGTGAGTACCACAATACCTTCAACATATAATAAGATATATGTTATCAGTATCTTAAATGCAAACTTCTTCCACATCACCTCATCACAATAAATGCAACTGGCTACATAGACAAATCATCTCCGTTTGGCTCTATGAAGTCAATAATTAAAATAACTAAAATGAATGAAATTAGTCTATACTTAAGCTATGTTATCCGACTGCCTAAAATCCCATTGCCTATAATCCCATTTTTCATTAATATGACATACGCATTTTGAAGATCTCACTTAATTTGAATAACAGCTCCAAAACATAATCCCGAGAGACCACACATTTGAATTTTTCAGGCTTGTCAATAGCATTTTATCAAATTCCGAATACATGTAGTCAATCCCAAAAAGCTAGTTAGTTGGATGGCTGGTATACCAAAGAAACAAAATACAAGATTAATAATTAACAGATAAAACCCCCAATTTGATACACCAAAGTTATTTATGTCACCACATTATTCAAAAATTTGGTTTCTGAACTTTATCCATCAGATATTTAATTCATAATCATTCGTCCTCCAAAGATTTTGTCACCAAATTAGTCCTTTAAAGGTTTGATTTCTCATCAAATTAGTCTGTCAATGATCAAAATTTCATGACATTGGTCCCTATAAAAAACTAAGTTATGAAAAACCTAAAATTTCAAAATATTGGTCCCTATAAAAGACTAAAGTTATGATAAAAGAATCCTTCAGTTAGAAACCACGGATCACATACTCAATATGGGACCTAGGTACCTCATAATACTCAAATTCCTATCACAAATTAGAGACAAAAATATTCATTTGAGAAAAAAAATGGAACATAGAATAATTGAAGGAACATAGACCATGAGGTGTGAAGAAAGACACAGCATAATAATAAACAAACAGAGACCAAACAACGGTATTATGATGCAAAAACAGAGGGGCTAACTGGAAACAACACTAGAGAACCGTGGGTTGCCTGAAAATGACACAAATCTCTGGGATGACCAGAAATGATGCCAGAAAGCTATGGTCAGTGGCCAGAAACAAAACAAGTCATGTTTGGAGTTTTCGTCTCAAAAAAGGGGAATTTAAGGATTCTGACTATAATTAAAACCCTATGCAATTCTGGCAATGAACCAGGGAAAAATAAAAAGAATACCCATAAAACAAGTTCAATAATGGACAGAACAACCAGAAGTAAAGAAGGGATTTTGTCCTCATGTAGAATAGTGGCTGCATTTTTCTAGGCACTGCAACTCAAGGCTACAATAGCAAATTGTGACATAACTAGATTTTTATAACAGTCAGAGGCTTCTTAATTGCCAAACAGTTCTTATAACATGCCATTGATAACTATGGCCAATAGTGTCCAAAGCTGCCATTGTTTTGCCACACATTAGGGTTGTATTGTTAAATGCCTGTAATGGTGTGTTGTATTTTAACATCACTCAATCCCATAAAAGTGCATCTATAGATATTAACAAGTATGGACAAATATGATTGTGGACAATTTAAATTGTCCCATAGAATTAAAGTGTCGTGTCATGTACTCTATCATGACACAAATGTCAATTATGCATCCAACCTTAACTTTTATAAATCTCCATGCTTCAGAGCACACATGGCACATGCAGTATATATGAAGTAAAAGAAAAAAGAAGGAAAAAAAATCAACACATTTCATCTTTTCCAAGTTGCAATTATTAACAACTAACCTTCACCGTTAGATATGCATTCAATTGCTCATGTTAGAAAAACCCTTTATGCGGAAACTATATCAAACTGTCACACTAGTCTAGGTCATATATTATTGATGTTTAAGTTTGAAACATCTTTTTTTTTTTTTTTCAGTAAGACCATGACGTAACTCCACCTCTTGAGAGTGGCACAAGATGAAGCCATCCTTGTTTGGGGGTCTGCTTGTTCCTGGAAACAAGATGCCTTCCAGATTTTTAAATATGCGACATAGCAGTGCAGCAATGGCGGAGTGGATTATGTTGAATATTGCTTTAAAGAGTAGCTTGATTTGATGAATCCAACTCTCATGAAGGATGAAGAAATTGATCGACTTAGTGTGTGTGTGGCGTGATGTTTTTGGTCCAGGATAAGGTTCTCCTATGTTATTTGATCGTGGTTTATTTCTAGAAAATCTCTTATAAGTGATTTTGAAGTAATCTTTGTGAAAGAAAGATTTTAATAAGTTAAAAGATAGCTTTAATATGTTAAAATGATCTTAAGGTACATTTTAATCTATTAACTAATTGTTTTAACTGATTAAAATCACTTCAAGCCTTAAAAATGTTTTGAAGGTTCTGTTTTAATATGTTAAAACATGGTTTTAACTGATTAAAGTGTGCATAGTCATTTTGAAGTATTTTGAATCATTCTGTTTTAATCTGTTAAAAAAGGGTTTTAATAGATTAAAACTTTTTGAGCTTTAAGAATGATTTTTAGGCCTTGTTTTAATCAATTAAAGTATTTTTAATCAATTAAAACATTTTCTGCCATTGAAAAGGTTTTTGAAGCACTGTGTTTTAATCGTTTAAAATATTTTTAATCTATTAAAATTTCTCTATGTTTTTAAAGAACACTTTTGATTTAATCGATCAATTTCACAATGAAGTGAAATTAACATATTAAAACCCAATTTTAATCGATTAAAATTGTAGTTGAAACCCATATATAACTCTCTCATTTCTCAACCTTTTGCCGCACGATTTTGAATCAGATTTTGATATATCATTTCTAACATTGAGAGAATATTGCTATCAAGTTTAAAACACTATTCTTGGAAGCTTTCTTAGGTGAATTTCAAGATCATTCTTTAGAGTGAAGGAGAAAATAAAATTTCATCTAGATTTAGTATTCTATTGCATTTTCTATTCTTCCAGTTGAAATGTTCTATTTCTTTCTGTTTGATTTTGAATAGTAATCTTCTCTCTAGATAGGGTTTCCAATGCTTTTGTTTGTGCAGGGTGTCATAGATTCTTGAAGTTGATTTCTTATAGGGTTCAAGAATAAAACTTCTTGGGTAGATAGATTTTTCTATTAGTACTTAATAACTTTGTTGTTTTAGAAGAATCTTAGTTGGTGTAGCTAAGAACCAGATGTAACTTTTGTTTAGAAGTGAATCAGTACAAATCTTGTGTGATTTCTTCACTCTCCTACATGCTCATCTTGCTGCCACTACCTTTACATGTTCTTTTAAGATTTTTTCATAATGATTGGCTACCTTATCTTTGACCAATTGGTTGGATAACAATATTCATTCTTAAAATCAAAAAAATCTTTCAAAGCTCAATTGACCCTTTCTCTTGAACTCAGCCTTTTACTCTAACATATTAGTGTAGCAGCTGTAGTGATGCTATGTGATTCCAAAAAACCCTTCTGAATTTGGGGGACTATTTTTGGGATTTCAATTTCCAAAAATGAATCTACAACTGTAATAGTAGTGAAAATGATAAAGAAAAGTCTTGGATTTAGAAGATGATGATGATTGATGATTCTAAGAAACTTGCATTTAGAAAATGATATTGGTATACTTGTATGTTTTGTATATAACACCCATGACTTTTATTGTTAATTATGAATGTCATTAATTGAGTTATTTTTATCATTTTTTGAGAATTTAAATTATGCAATATACATTATATAAACTATAAAAATTTCAAAACAGTAGTCCACTATGAAGTTTTTAGGGCTGACCACTATGTGCTGCTATCCATGATTTAAAACATTGGTGCTTCCAATTGTGATTTCAACTAGCACCCATATATGTAGCTCAATTTGCAAAATTGGGCTATACTTTGTGATTGAAGTATGTTACTTTTATTATGACATGAGATGCAATCCAAGTCCAATCAATGCAAACGCAGGTAAATGCTCAAAACCATTTTTTTCTTTTTCTTCTTGGTGGTCTATGTCTTGTATTGTTAAATATATAAATAAACAATGGGCTATAAAGAACAAACCTCAGTTTCCTTTTGACTCTGTCTAATCTGAACCAACATTTCTTCTGTCTCCGATATCTTCTCTCTTTCAGCAGAAATCTCTTGCTGAAGCTTAGTTTTCTGTTTTTCCCAAGCTAGAAGTTTTTTTAAGCATTTTTTCTCCCTTTTTGCAACTTCTAAGCAAGCTGTCACCGATTCTGATGCACTTAATTTGGAAGCCTCCATCTCTGCTTTCATTTCTGCATTCTCAGTTTCTAGTCTCCTCACAGCTGCATTTGCAAGGTCCAGTTGACCACTGGCTTTTCTCAAAGCATTCTCCATCTCAGAGAGCCTCTTCATGGTTGTGTCCTCAAGGACTGGTTTCCCTTTCTTCAATTTTTGAGTCTCCTCTCTTTCCATCCGCAACATCTTGAGCTCAGTTAGATCACTGCTTAGCTTTCTAGCTGCCTGCATTGCCTTCTGATGAGCCCAATCTTTTCGCTCACTGACCTGTTTCTCAAGATCCTTGATTTGATGAAATAAAGTGACTATCACCTCATCCTTCTGATCTTCCGCCACAAGCTCCAAATTCTCATCAAGATTCAAATCACGAAATTTACTCAGCACCGAATTCACAGCATCTTGGTTATCAAGATTCTGTGAATCTCCTCCAGATTGCTCAGCCGGTACCCCTGTCCCGGTCGCAGCAAAAGAATCAAAATTATATGCATTACTCCGGCCAGCAATGGCCTTTGCCTGCGCCTGCAACTGCTTGGAATTCGCCCTAAAACCAGCAGCAAATATTGCAACATTTCTCTTTAATAAGGACTTCATTGAAGGAGAAAGATTAAACCTCTTCGGAAACTCAATGTCTCTTTGCAGCTGTAAATTCATCTCTGTCCCGCAAGCGATAACGCCAGGAAATTCTAAGCCTCCCCCATTTCCAAATCCCCACCCTCCATGAAACCTACAAAAAGCTGGAGCGATAACACTAGTCGAATTAACACCTCCCTCACCGGTAGGAGGACCAGGGCTCCCAGCGCCTGCCACTGGAATATCCATAGCACTAGCCCTCCCAACATGAAGATCATTCATTAGCAAACACCACATTGCATCACCCTTGCTCAAATGTGGCCTCACCTGTTGCACCAAACACACCAAAGCCGCCACAGAGTACTCCTCCAACTGCCTCAAATTAGAGAATACAGGTTCAGTCTCATCCATATTCCCACCACCACCATCACTATTACTATTCAAATACGCCAAGGAATTGTGCAAAATATTCGTCAGCGCATCCATGCCACCATAACAATGCCCATTTCGCAGCATGGCCTTAACAGCAACATCCTCATCGTAACCCAACGCAACAAGCTTTGCCACAGCTTCATTGTAAATAAACTCCAAGTTTTTCAACAGAATCTCTTCCAATTGTTCCTCTGTACAGTAACCCCACCCGGTTTCCTCGACATTAGGGTTTGAATTTGGGCTCTGGGAAGAATCGTTGACAGCCATATGGTGGTATTTGAAGGGCTTGAGACCAGACTCGGCTATGGATTTGGATATGGCATCTTTGTCGCAAGAATCGGAGTCCGGTTTCGCTGATCGGAGTCTCCGATTGGCCCTGATGTGTTTTTCCCTCATGCTGCAACCCATATAAAATTTGTGCGCCTTTGTTGAGTTTTACAGGGAGATGTACAAAGGGCGGTAATACAAAGGATTGGGTATGGAAAAAGAAGATCAAGATCGAGGGTTGATGAAAAAATGATGAGATGAGGATCGAGGGTTAGTGGGTGAAGAGGGAGATAAGAGAGGAATTGGATTTTGATGGAAGAAGAGAGAAAGGAAGGATTGCCGATTGGTTCAGCATTATTGGTTTTGAGAGAGCTCAGTGTTGTTGAGAATCACAACCTCGATTGGTTCAGCGTCATTGGATGGATTGCTCTTTCCACTCTTTAAAAGGGTCGATCCTTCTCTTCAACAACCAAGTTATATTATGGTTATATTAGTTAAATCATTTCCAAGTTTTATCCATCTCTGTAAAATAAAATTATACTTTTTTTTTTTAGGAAAATTTGGATACACTTTTCCCAGTTCTTTTCAAACGACAATTATATTTTCTCTCTGTTTTTTCAAAAGAACTCGCTCATTTCTTCCATGGATATAGATTTTACAATTTACTATTTTTTAAACTATCCTTATCTTCTATTTTTATTTTATCGAAAAATATATGTTCATACATATGCATTTTACTATATTTATAGACACAGATACAAAATTAAATGTAAATACATATTTAAATTATTATATATTTATAATTTTTTCAAACAATATCTTTTAAATATATTTGCATATACATCTATACACATGTTTTATAATAAATATGAATAATAAAAAATATTTCAAACTACATACGAGACTTTTTATATACACCATTTTTCTTTCATGAAACTAAAAAAAATAGAGTATATTCTTATATTTGCATTAACACAATTAACTTGAATAAAGATATATTGTGTTGTCAATTTCAATGTTAAATTTGTGAAAATCATATCTATTATTGAGTTGGTTTCTTGTTTCAATATCGTAATTTTTCTATAATTTGGATTTCATGCTATATTTAGGTTGGAAAGTGATGAAATAAATAAACATATATTGAAATCATTATCATTTTCTTCATGGGATTGATATTTCTGATACTTAAAAATTATGCATATAATTATGACATATCTAATTTAATAATCAATTAGGAAAAAAATATTTATTTTTTAATAACTAAAAAAAACAGGATCTAAAGGAGTTTATAGATGCAAACTACCATTTTTGTTAATATTAAATTAATTGAAAGGATTTAAAGTTAATAAAGAAAGAAATTTTGATTTAGTTAAGTTTTAAAAATTATAAATAGAAAAACTACAATTTTATTTTTTTAAAAATACAATTTTCTACAATTTTATTTCCTACTATTTCTTTTTAAATTTTTATCCATCTTCTCTTTAATTTTTTAAGATGATTTTTTTTTCTTTACTTAAGGTGGTATAAAATATAAGTCTAATACTATATGTAAAATCGATGAAAAACTCTACTTCACGTAAATGTGGTAAACTAATTATTTTTTAGTAAGAAACTTCTGAAAACGCACGTATAATATGTACTCGTTTCACAAATGTTTTATAGTCGTGATGTTATAAATATTCTTATGGAATTATGTTTTAAAAAATTATAAAAATGATCATTTTAAACATGTTTTTAATTACTGTGCCAACTTTTCTAAAGAATATAGTCTAAATATTTACATATTTATATTTTTTCCTCCATAATACAAGTTTATAAAGGTTTATCATATTTTCAGGAAAAAAAATCATTGAAGTTATTTAAAAACAAATATCATGAGCATACACAAAAATGATGAGGAAAAGATAAAAAGCTTAAAAAAAATGTTGAAGGGGAAAAGATGAAAAATGGAGATATGAAAGAGAGCTACTCTCTAGGCCCCCATCAGTACTTTGACAGGTTATTTTTCAAGACTTAGTCTTTGTTTGAAAATTATTTACAACATAACTCCAATCCATCTTTGCTTCTCCATTTGTGAACTGAAATGTCAAAATTTTTCTGTGAATCTGATTTGAATTTGTGGAAAAAGAGAAAGGTAAACGGTATACAGATTCACGACCATTGTCTGGTGTCGGTTTTGTTTGAGTTTGGATTAAAAATAATAGTAATCCAATTTAATACAATTCTTTATTGCTTGTTTTTCTATTTTTAAAGCAAATTCAAATTAAATTAGAAATTTCCAAAATTCAGTTTAAGCTGAAACAGAACAGTTGGCCACAACATAAATCTACAAGAAAAGATAGAGATGAAATAATAGGGATATGATCTTTATTGACATATACTTCTGACCCAAGATTTGTGTGGAAATGGGTCCATTCAAATGAGAGCCCATGAATGATTTTATTCCAAAAACATACGGAAAGGGGTGCAAGATATTTTGTGAGGAATATAGATAAGATGTTGAATTGTGGTTCACAAGTGGAAGAGTGAAGAAGAGATAGTGCTTAGTTGGTCATCTGTGGATGGCATATTGCATTCCAAACTTACCATCACTCCAGGGTTGGAAGACAAGCACCAATTGCTTATTTGGCTGGAACACAGGCAAGAAGAATGTAAATGACAAACCTCAGATTAAATACCATGATATTGATCTCACTTTCTCAACTTCTCTGGTGGACAAAACATTTTTGAGAGGTACTATTATACTTTCTCTATCAGCTAAATTGCTAATTAAAGAAAACATAGAATCATATATTACCATTTCTACTTATTGTTACTATGTTTTTTATCAGGGAAGGAGCTAAAATGCTGCTTTAGGGCTACAATAGATGGATTCAGTGCAACTAGTTTCCACGAATGTTGTGACTTCAAGGGGCCATGCGTGATAATCGGCTACACAAACAAGTCTTTCAAGTTTGGTGCATTTAACCCTGAAGGGTATAGAAGCACAGATGACTACTATGACACATTTGATGCCTTCCTATTTTATTGGACAGACAATGAAACTAAGCCCATCATTTTGCCCAAGGTTGGTGGCAGTGGTGCAGCCCTGTTTGATTATGCACGTGGGGGCCCACAATTTGGGGCAGATGGGCTGCTCATAGGGCCCCCATTGGCCCCAGTTATGGGGGGCTTTGCTGGGCCTGATACAAATTCTGGCATTGGTGACTTAAGACAAGCAAAGTCTAGATTGGGATTGTCTTATGCCAAAAGAGACGATGGGAAGGAGTCTATATTTGGTGATGAGTCAAGGGCAACCCTTAAAGAAGTGGAAGTCTTTTGCAGTCCTCAAATTGCAAGCTTATACTAGAACTTCATAAGGAGGTAAGGAATAATACTATACTATAATAGTATATTTTGTGCTGTCCACGTCTATAATGAGTCAATGTCTATGTACTGTAATATTCTGTGCATGAATGAACATGTAACCACTTAGGTCTTTGATCTCATCTTCCACTGGAAATATTCACCAAGTTATAAAGTACCAATACCTAGATAAATTAACTTCCACTGAGGATGCTTTTCACTCATTTCGTTCTCAACTCCTCCAGTGGAGAATAATGGCTCAAAGAATTATTTATTACTTAAACAACCACAATAAAACATGACTTAGCGAGGGAAAAGCCACATGAGCACTTTTACACTGAATCATAGGTTGGTGGCCAGAATCTGTCACAATCTATATCAGATTATAGGTCATTTTGCGTTTGAAGAGTTTTGGAATTTTTGCCCTTTATGAAAGTGTTCCTGAAAATCTTGCATTGCTGACATGCGTTTTCGCCGAAGATTGAGAATGAGAAGATGCTGAGGGAACAATGTTACTTACTTCAGAAGAGACGTGTGTCGTGTTCACTTTATTACCTCCACAAAATATTAGTGGTTTATCTGTTATTTGATATTAATATTTAAAATTTTAATCGTTATTTTTAGTATTTGTACTCAATAGAATGAAAAAATAGTCGTGATATTAAGGGGTAACTATCAGATAATTTATAATATTAGTAAATTAACGAGTGTACTTCAGGCAAGATCCTAGCCTAATCTTATCATTCTCGGAATTGTTACAACTGTGTTGTTCTTGACAAATAGAGGAGTTTGTTGAATAAACTTTATCAATGGGGCTATAGATAAGTCAGCCTGAGTTTCTTAAATAAAATATCAATAGTGATAGAACATAACTAAAAGCACTTAAAAGACTGTTGAGTTATATTCTTATAAAATATACTTTATCATGTTTCCTTCATGTATTGGAAACATGACAGTGTAATCACCTTGGTATTTTTTATACTTGGGAAGCTCTGTTTGAAAGACTTGTATTCAATCAATTTCTTAGTCGCTACACAACGAGTTTTTTACTTATATAATAGATTGTGGCTTCGTGGAAACTTGGGTGCAGCTTAACATGGGTTTTAAGCGTTTTACCCATAATATTCACCTATTCACTTAGTGTGTTTGGATTATGTTTTGGTAAAATCAGTCTTAAGCCATGATGTTAACAAGACCAGTAATAACATTGTAATCTGTATATGTTAATATGCAATATACAGCAGCTATGGTAAGGGTATTTATAATTTAATCACAATTAGACCTAAACCGCTTAACTCAAGTTAAAGCAGCCTACATAAAAAGTCTAGTTGCCAAAAATAACCAAGTCATTTGAACAATTGAGATTCTGAAGGTAGTGGGTCAAGTAAATGATTGATGTCTTAGAATTCAGAATTCGGAGCCTAAATTAACTAACTGCACAAGACTAACTAGTAAGATAAGGATTTAATTAGTTTTTATAAACTTTATTTAGATCATATGTATTTTTAAGGCTATAATTAAAACAAGCAACCCTCAAAAAGTTCCAACTAAACATGTTAGGAATGACTGCAATTAGGACAACTGTTCAGTGACACCAGTTATGTTTGACTATTTTTAGGAAAAATTTTAGTGACCACTTGTTTAAGAATTTAAAAAGTATGTTAAATCATATTTGAGAAGGTATGAATGAACAGGGAGAATGATTGAAAATAATGATAATCACTCTACTCATTGATCTACAATTCTTATTATAATTGAATTATTGAAGTGAACATGACTATTGGTGAATAGTTATTTTAACTGTTAGGTTAGCATATGTGTCTCTACACAGGCGGTGGCTTCTGATTGAGTGGAGAAAAATCCAAATGCTGTACTGTACAGTCACCACAATAAACACAACACTTAAGTGATTGATTGCAGAGCCTAAAAGCAACTCCTCTTAACTCATCCCACTACTTAAGTGGTAAGATGGTAGAATTTCTCAATTACCACTAAATAAGGGGTTGACATAATTCTTCCTTCACAAAGTATTCCAATAAAATATCTTTGGTTAAAGCTGCTGATTTATTGGCATAGAATTTATCAAAAGGTCATTAACACCTATCATCCCCCGCTAATGCTGAAAGGACAAGCCAGTCGTATGTTGGATGCTAATCAAAACAACTGTACGGTGAAATGACTTTTGTCAATTCTAAACGTAGAATTTCATTTTACCTTTGTCTTTAAAGGAAAAATATAAATGAAATGACCACCATATCTGGCGGCTGAGTTGACTGAAAGCTAAACCAAAGAGTCCTGTTATTCACATGCATAAACAAATTTCTTTTAGCTTTGTCTTCTACTTCAGTTTTTCAAAATTAAGGTTCTGCATCACTGTTTATTTGGGATACAAAAGTATTTTAAAACCGTGATCTTACTGTATTGAAATTTTGACATAGTAAAACAATGTGACAAATAGAATCTATCCCTCAACATTCTCACGGCTTTATGAACATACATAAAATTAACAGGCAACGAAGGGTGAAGACAATCATAAGCATTAGATGATAGGGGGAAAGAAGTTTGAGGCTTGACAACATTTATATGAAGTTTTCCTCCATTATATAACTTTATTTTATAAAACCACACATACAGATGGCTGAATGTAAACCAACTCCGGCAATATGGATAAAAGTGATGTTGCCTGGGGATCCTACATAACAGTGTAAATGATAAACATAATCAATACCACTTCAAGCAGAGAAAATTTTCCGCTTGCTACACAACAAGGTGATTCTACTCATTATTTATCACTCCAAGACATACATTAAAAAGCGATGTCTCGGATTCCTTATAATGCCACACCAAGTAAAACTACAGCTAACTAGTCCCCACAAACTGCTTTCCTGCAACCACAGATCACCAGCTCTCATCACCACTAGTTTACCTTTAAATTAGTCCTTTATCACATTTTGACACCGTGCATTGCAAGAAAGTGAGAGTTTTCAGATTTTAAAAGGATTCTGGATATGAGATTGAGTTAATTTGATCATAATCTTCGTATGGAACATCCCCGTTTCCATTCCCATTTCCATAGAAGTCCATGGAATTCCATTGTCTTGAGTAAGGTGACATGCCGCCAATTTGACTGAGAGTATCAGCAAATTCAACTTCTCCATTGAAATTTGAGTAGGACAAACTAGATGAAGTTTCTGGATGTTCCAATGATTGCCATTGTATCCCCATATTTGGCAAGTCATATCGTGGAAAATATTCAGCCACAGCATGTTGTAATTGAGGATAGTCCTGCAGTTAGTGAAGGATAAAGTCAGTAACTTCTCCAAAACCTACTTATTCAACCTCAACTTTTTATCTTTGTTCCTACTTACACATACCTTTGAAGAATCAAGAATCATGTCAGGGGAGATCCAGAAGTTAGAAGGATTGGTTTCCACAGAAACTTGGTTAATCTCTCCCGTTGGAGCCACATTGTATGGAGAAGTAATAGGGCTTGAATAACGACTTTCATTATTCAGGTGGCTTGCTTGAGAGGAAGCATCACCAGAGTTGCTGAATGGCTCACCAGAAAATCTTACTGTGGTGTCACTCCCATTGATGGAACTGCTTCCAGCCCTTTTACCCTTGTTTTCTCCATGTGTAGCACCTGCCTTCTCATTCTTCTTAATAACCCGGCACAAGGCAAAACCACCCTACAATGACCACAAATAAACCAACTGAACTCTTTCAGTGTTACCCTCAAATTAAAGGCAACATTATAAAAGAAGATAATAAAGATAAAAAAAGAATGAAGATTCTTTTACAAGTTAAAATTAACTTGTACACCTCAAATTTTATTTTTGAGACAGAATTTCTATAGAAGTTTAAGTACCTAAGGTGATTTTAACTAATGTTTATACAGAAATTTATCCAAAAAATGGGTTGAATGTAAATTGCACCTGGAAAGATGGTGTAGCGTGACCAAGATCATCACAGAGGCGATACTCATGCATGACCCAATCAGTTCTATCTCCTAAAGGGGCCCTCCCTAGATAGAAAACCAAGGTCTTGCGGTACCCTGTAACAGTGGATGGATTAGACTGGCACACCACTTTTCTGTCTTTTCCAGTGGCTTTCCAATACCCAGCTTTGGTAGCTCTATTTGTTCTTGATCCATTTGGGTACTTGCGATCCCGTGGACAAAAGAAAAACCATTCCAAATCCCGTTTTGGAAGGAAAGACTTCTCTGCATTTCACATCTCTCACGAATTAGGCTTCTCACATTTCCATATGAGAAAAAAAATACAACAAATAAATAAATTAAAACCATTACTTTTTTTACTAAAGAAATCCTATAGAACAGCTTTTAGTTTTACAGCTCAGAATGATTAACTACTAAAGAAAAAGTGAAGAAAAAAAAAACAGACAAAACAGTAACATGCTTTCTTTCTGGTATTCATAAAGTTGCGTTTCACACTGGTCTGGTCCATTTACCATGTTAAACTTGCATCAGAAAGGTTTCCTTTTTGCGTGTCTAGATTGTAAGGACGCTAATTTAATTATCAACATGTGAAATTGAAGATTACCCGGCAACTCCCAGGGATCGAATTTGTAAAAATCAATCACTGGGATAACTTCAAGCTCAATTTCAAGCCCCTCCACTTTTCTTTTCAGGTAGTATCCCACTAGTTCCTCATCAGTTGGATGGAAACGAAATCCTGGTGGCAGTGTTGCCCCTCCCATATTGAAAGAAAGTGTCACAAAATATTGTGAAGCTGATGTAGAAAAAATAACCAAAGCTATGTAGCAAGAGAATAAAAAAAGTCGTTTCCAGGATCTTTTGGAAGGATTAGGATATAATTATTGCTAAGTGCCAAGACTATATCTATTAAAGATTTGGAAGATCCAGAAATAGAAGCTTTTGTCTACAACAGATTTTTTGTCAAATGTCAAGTGACACTTCCACAGAGTGCATCCATTAAATGCAAGGATCATCGTCTTGAAGAAATTAGAATTCTCTTATGGCACCTATCCCCCTCCAACCCCACCACCACCACCCTTTAGTTTCAAAACCCTGAAAGCTGGAACAAAAGGAATGAAATTAACTTAGTAGTACCAAGAAATTAAAATAAGTATAACTCAACTAATTTTGACCCAGTTAAGTTTGCAAAGCGAAAATGAGAACAAGAATGGGAACCTTGTCACAGGTTTCGGAAAGGGTAAGCTAATCAAAGCCCAAAATTTTGAATGAACAAGTTCAGAAAAACACTGAAATTGAGTGAGGTGTGACCCACTATGACAAAGTGCTAATGGATGTGTCAGTTCTTTGAGATGAGGAAGATGAGAGATTGTAGAGTAAAAGCATAAGTCACTGATGGTGTGCTATTTATAGCATCTGATAAGGGAACCAAAAGTCCAAAATTTAGCACACCGAAAGTTTGAGAATGAGATTACTTGTCTCAAGTGCACCCAAAATTCCAAAGTAAAGTGGCCCACCACTCTAACCAGTTCACATTCACACCTACAAACTATAGTTTATTTCCCGCCAATTCAATTAATTTACCGTTATTTTATGGTTTCCGTTTCATGCGTTTTGGGTTCTTCCCAAGACCTTATTTCCTTAATTTGTATCTTATTTGAAGAATGGATTTCAAAACCACGTAATGAACTGTAATGATTTCGCTTGGCTTGAATCTATAGCAAAAGCAGAAGGGTGTGCCTCTATTTTCATCAAAGTACGTTTCAATTTTCAAAGTATCTTCATGAGTGAGTATATTCAACGTTGACCGTATAAGCCCAAGAAAATGTTGAAAGTACAGAAAATATTATCCAAGAGTCTTAAAAGCCACTCTTGGTAGAATTTCTCCCTCTCTTTTCGGGACTTACAACCATTCTTTCTCTGTTTGCATCCCTGTTTTTCTTTTTTCTTCTTCAAAGAACACCTAGAAAAGTATGTTTAATGTGATGCTGAAAACATGTAATGCGTAATTTGTTATGTTTTGAAAGGAAATTAAAAGGTTGAAAGCAATCACCTGTACTAAAGCGACAACATTCTGACACTTATTGCCTATTTGAATTACCATTGATTGAAGTTGAATAAAATTGATTTTGGAAAAGTTTAAGAAAGAGTTGCATTAAAATATGTGTTTTATTAGAAAGTACACAAATTAATTTTGTGACATTGAAACAAAGGCTTAAACTAACTACTTCCTAATTATAATTTCATGGTGTTGCATTATTAAAATAGAGTTTTCCCCAAAAACTTGTGCACATGGTTACCCAAAAATTGAGGTGTTGGAAATGTGAGAGCACACTGAATAATTAACTTAATAATATTAATACCTTTATTTCCGTCTTCTTTTTTCTCTTTTTCTTTGTAAGATTATGAATACATCTCACTTTAAATATAAATTTTTAAAAACAAATATCATAAAGAATAATAATTTGATAATACTACTACTAATAATAATATAAAATGTATGTTTTTTATTTTAGAATTAATTATTAAATTAATTACTAATGTAAAATATATTGAAAGTGATCCTAGCAAAGATCTCATTGATTTGATGAAGTCAAAGATAAAGTCAAGGGTCAACTCTGCAGTGAGTCAAACAAGTCACTCGAAGAATGGAAGTCGAAGACTTAGTGTGTCTTAACGAAAGCTTAGGTAAAACCACTTTACCTTTTCCACCGCATAAAGCTTCTTCACTCAATTTGCAAAATGCCTCAAAAATAGTTTTAAACAAATCAAACAAAAGCATTTTGACAAAGAACTCTCTTAACAATGTTTTTAACTGATATAGTTTTTTAAAGAAACGTTTAAAACACTTAGAATGTTTATAGAAGTGTTTTCACAAGCATTTTAATTGATACAAAAACCTTTTAATCGATTAAAACTCTTTATGACCGATTAGAATTCGAATATAATAGGTCGAATGCATTATAATCGATCAGATCTTAAATATGAGCGATCAGAACTATTTTAATCGATTAAAACACGTTTCAATCGATTAAAATTACTTTGGATGTCAGGATGATCGATCAGAATGAGATTATGACCGATCAGAGTTGGATATGATCGATCAGAATTGAATTATGACCGATCAGATCTGTTTCAATCGATTAAAACGTATTTCAATCGATTAAAATAACTTAGAAAATCTTTTCAATCGATTAAAACGAACTTTCAATCGATTAAAATGACTTGAAAATATATGTGCAGTTTTTCAATCGATTGAAACGACTTTATATCGACTAAAATAACTTCGAAAGTTTTATAAGAAGGTTTTTAAACAAATCAATCGATTAATACGCGATTCAATCGATTGTTTTATACTTAGAAAATGTTTGTAAAACGTTTTAACCGATATAAACATGGTTGTATCAACTAAAACATTTTCTGTTAAAGATCAAGAATGCATTAATGGGTTGAAAGGACTTTTAACAGATTATAACGGCTATTTCAACAGATTAAAACAAACTTTCAACAGATTAATTAATGCAGTAGATTTGAAAATACTCTTTTATAAACAGTAATTGCTTGAAACTTTTAAACAGAGATTGAATATCAGCTTTTACACAATTCAAGCAATCAATACAAACAACTATTAGCATTTTTCAAGAAAGATACACAACTGTTTTTGTGAACTTCTTTTGAAATCTTTCTTGAGGCACTTTGCATTTCTTTGAAGAAGAAACTGACCGTGGATTGGTGTAATCCGGTTTGAGCTTTCTTTGTTTCTTCTTTTAAATTTCTATTCATTCATTTGTACTTGTTTTGTACCTGGAATTTGGGTACAAGTTTTCTGCAACTGTTGTAGAAAGTTGCCAAGAACTGGAATTTGGTTCTTGGTGGAAAGGTTAAAGCAAGAGCTGGAATTTGGTTCTTGTGTGTGGTGCCTGGAATTTGGGCACTTGGGTTCTCTGTGGCTGGAATTTGGTTGCGAGAGGTTTCCAAGAGCTGGAATTTGGTTCTTGGTGGAGAGTTAGAATAGGTGTAAGAGGGTGAGTCTGTAAAACATCTATTCTAGTGGAACCCAATCTGGAATTTGGTCGGAGATTGGACGTAGCCCTGGTATTGGGTGAACCAAGTATAAAATTACCGGTGAAATCTTTCCTAACCTTTCTCTCTTTAATTTCAGTTGCTTGCGCTTATATTGTTTGATTGCTTGGTAATTCAAAAAGATTTTTAGAAACTTAATTTTCGAATTAGATAATCTGTGTATTGCGAAAAACTTTCAAAAATCAATTCACCCCCCTCTTGATTTAAAACTACTTTTCTAACAATTGGCATCGAGCAAGGTGCTTGAAAGTTATTCAAGTCTCTTGATCCATGGCCGAGAACAGATTACCGTTTTCCGAGGGGGCATCTATTAACAGACCTCCACTATTCTCGTGGAACAGATTATCCTTTCTGGAAAATTAGGATGAAAATCTTCATTGAATCCATTGACGAAATGCTTGGGATGTTATTACTAATGGTCCTTTAATTACGGATAAAGGATGGTCAAGCTTGAATGAAGAAGAAAAGAAGAAAGTTCAAAGTGACTGTAATGCAAAAAATATAATTACTTCTGCTCTTAACATGGATGAATTTTTCAGGGTGTCCCAGTGCAATTCCGCAAGGAGATGTGGGATGTTCTTGAGGTCACTCATGAAGGGACTGCAGATGTTAAAAGAGCCAGAAAACACACTTTGATAAGAGAGTATGAGTCTGTTTAAAATGCGGAATGGTGAAAGCATCGCAGATGTGCGAAACGCTTCACGCACATCATCAACCATTTAATGGGCCTAGGTAAGACCTTTGATAAGGAAGAACTAAATATTAAAGTATTGAAATGTCTTGACAGGTCCTGGCGGCCAAAAGTCACTCGCAATATCGAGAATCAAAAGATCTGTCCACCATGACAACAGCCTCACTTGTTTGGAAAACTCGAGAGAACATGAAATGGAAATCACAAGATTCAATGAGCAAGAAGTCTCGAGAAGAAGAACAGAAGCATTGCACTTAAAGTTGAAGAAAATCAAGAATCAGAAGAAGATAATGAGAACCTTGGACTGCTTGTTAGGAAATTCAACAAATTCCTCAAGAAAAAGATCCAAGACAAGGAAAGACACAAAAGGTATGAGAAAAGAACTGATTCTTCTAACTTTAAATGTTATGGTTGTGGCAAACGGGGCCATGTTAAAATGGAATGTCCAGAGAGAAACAAACAAAGTGAAAAGAAAAAGGAAAAATCAAAAGAAGAGCCTACATAGCCTGGGATGATAATGATACGTCATCAACAGATAACTCCGAAAATGAAGAAGCCAATCTTTGTTTAATGGCGAGTCAAAATCCACAAACCAGACCAGGTAAGTTCTAGCTCCTCTTCAAATGTAGTTAACTATGATGCATTACAAGAAGCATTTAATGAAATGCATGAAGAGGCTAAGAAACTTCAAAAAGAAAATGATAGGTTGAAAGGGCTAAATAAGCTGGCTAGTTAACAAGGTTGATTCTCCGGAAAAGCAGATTAGTGAAAATGAAACTGATAATGAATTCTTGAAACTGATTCATGCTAACTCTGATTGTGAATGCAATAAACCATGCAATAACTGTCCTGAATTGCAAAAGAAAATTGAATTCTTATCTCAAACTGTTTCAAAGTTCACTCAGGGGCAAGCTAATCTTGATATATTACTTGGATCTCAAAAATTAATGTTTGACAAAGCTGGAATAGGCTTTAAATCTAGATCCGAGT